GATGGGCGTGAACTTCGGTTCAGAGGTTTGTGCCAGTTCCTACACATAGCACCACAGATGCCATATGTTCCCTTCCACTGCCTCCCTGGACAATTACCCACTCACTAGCTGGGGCACACTCCTCTCCTCCTCTTCCTTGGCTGTTTGACCAGTCTCTGGCAGGAACACGGGGTTGCCTGTCCTGCCTCCTTTGTCTGAGTATGCAATCTGTTAAGGAGCCAGGGAAACCCATGCTCCTGCCAGAGACTGACTAAACAGCTGAAGAGGAGCACATGCTGGCTGGTGAATGGGGGATCCAGCTGAGGGGGGAGGGGAACACATGGGAACACACTGTGGTGCCATGTGTACGAATCAGCATAAACCTCCAAACTGAGGTTTCCGCCCATCTCTAGTCTCAATCTATAGGGAGTATGAGAAGAAAATGGAGAGGAATTGTACTCATTATACATTTAATAAGTTACATCCTCCACCCATAGAATTCTGCAACTGCTATGCATAATCATTAAAATTCTACAACCATTAGTTTATCACATAAACAGTATTACCTACTAGTCTTCCGTTTGCCCAGACTACAGTATTAAGACAGGACTTTTTCAGTCAGTCAGAAGCTCCTATTTCTAACAGTTGACTCTGCCCAATTAGCATATAGATAACATGGATGGTGGGCTGTCAGCTTATCTTAAACAAGCTGAGGAACTCCCAACTATTAGCATGACTATTGACATATATAAAATATACTTCGCTCTTCAACAACACTGGGATTAGGGGTGTCAGATCCCTGTATAGTTCAAATGCTTATGCCCCTCAAAACATTACTACAAAGCATGAACAGTTGATTTACACACACACACACAGACACACACACACACACACACACACACACACACACAATCCCTTTGTTAGGGTTCTCTTCCATGGCATTGACGATCTTTCCTTATGATTCTCTGATCTAGAGGCTGAATTAGAGATGTTGTTGTTCGGGGACAAGTAGACCACTTTGTCATCTTCAGTGTCAAACTTAAGGGGATTCTGGGTTGAAAGGGGCACAGTATTCATTCATTCATTCATTCATTCATTCATTCATTCATTCATTCATTCATTCATTCATTCATTCATTCATTCATTCAATTTAAAAATCAGTCCATAATATAAACCATGCTGCTCAAACCCATGTAACTCAAGGGATGAATATATGTCAGGATAGATAAACAAATGTACTCTACTAGAGCCACTATCCAGGGGATTTTTTTTTTTTTTAAAAAAACACCTCCCATTCCCATGAATCCAAGAGCACATGAGCAGGCCAACAATTTAAAATCTCATTTGCCCATTTTGATTAGGAGTTCAAACAAAGATAGCACATCAGTCTAAATAGAAATACTGTATATGCATTGGATAGATATGTTTGTGCATCAGAAACAAAAAGTCTTCTGGAATCTTAAATAACACAGGGGGAGTGGAGTTTTTTTTTGTACAAACATTTGTGGACTGAAGGTCGCTCTGTAAGATGCATATACACATAAAATGTATTAATTTGTAAATTGTTTTGATAGAAATATGCTATCTACATCGCAAGTAGTAATTGTACTGTCTTACTCTGCTTTGATCAGACTTTATTTGGAGGAAAGTGCCCAGTTTTGGGCACCACAGTTTAAGAAAGATATTAACGAATATGACCAGCAGGGGGCAACAAAGATTGTGCAGGACTTGGAGGCCCAAGCTCTATGTGGAAAGGTTGGAAACACTGAACAGACAGCTCATGACCAAGACAGGAGGGGGGAGGACTCCACTAAAATGTTGGAATGAGATGCCCTTTCTGGTCCTGTGAGTCCTCCCCCCTCCAAAATATATGATTCTGTGAGATCATAATAGTTACATTCTAAACATCAAAAAGCAACACAAAAAATCTGTCTCAAATCAGGTCTTTCCCAAAGTCCCTTGCCAAACTGATATTACAGTTCTAGAAAATTAATGATTATTCAATTAGCTGTACTTTGAGTGTTTTTTATTGCTTCAGAATATTTCTCTAAAAAAGTAATCACACACCCATCATTGGTACTAGTATGTTTTATCTTACTATTCAGCTATTATAACTTTTGCCTAATAAGAAGCCACTGGCAATGGTGCAGCTAAAAAATATTGTAAATAAAAAATATTGTAAATAAAATAAGTGCAAGAAATTGACATGACATATACCAGAACATAGGACTGGATGTTTGTTGTGATCAAATTAAACATTCAGTTATAAACCAACATCTGACAGCTTGGTGTATGGAGGCCTTGTGCACTTAGGTAAAGATAAAGGTCCCCCTTGACATTTTAGTCAGTCGTGTTCAACTCTAGGGGGCGGTGCTCATCCCCGTTTCCAAGCCATAGAGCCAGCGTTTGTCCGAAGACAGTTTCCGTTGTCACGTGGCCAGCACGGCTATATACGGAACGCTGTTTACCTTCCCACCGAGGTGTTACCTATTTATCTACTTGCATTTGCATGCTTTCAAATTGCTAGGTTGGCAGGAGCTGGGACAAGCGACGGGAGCTCACTCTGTCGCATGGACTTGATCTTATAACTGCTGGTCTTCTGACCCTGCAGCGCACAAAGGCTTCTGCGGTTTAGCCCGCAGCGCCACCACGTCCCCTTGTGCACTTAGGTCATCCAAATTGGAGGCTGGTTGGGAAAGAGCAAACCCACTTGTTCTCAGAGCAAGAATTTACAAAGTTCAGCCATGAAGGCTATAAATAGTTTGTACCTTTGTGTCTACTTTATTGCCAGTTCTACTACCTATGGGACTATTATACATGGTCACTACAAGATGGTGGAAAGAGCTGCACAAGGACAATTTGGATGTCACCTTTTTGCTGACTTTTTCCTAATCGGATACCTGTTAGCCATAGCATAAGGGGAGGGCATCTGGGGAAGATGATGGTGTGAAGCAGCAGCAGAGGGGCAGTTCAGAAAACTCTCCTCATCCCCACTTCTTCCCTCCAAATCAACTCCTCCTGCTGCTTTTTTTCAGCTCTTTGCCAGGAACTTGGGCTCCTTTACCTCAGTTTGCCATCTACATTTTTTAAATATGTCTCAATGACAATGGAATTTGATTGAGTAACAGAACATACCAAAGCAGAACAATTTCATATCCGGAAAGAATGAACAAAGTATAAAGTAGGAGAGAACTAAATCCAATCAACATCCGGGGGGGAAACTATTTAAATATCAGCCTGACTAGCTTAAGCAGAGCACAGCAAAAAACTAAAATATTTTGGCCAAGATTCAAAGTCTCCCCCGTTTCCTACAAGCCCTCCATATATTCTGAAAATCTGCTCTGAAGGCCTGAAGATCTGAAAGGCTATCTCTGGTATACCAGCTATGAAACATTTTGCTAATATAATAAAATCTTTATGAAGGGCATATAGAGCAGACAAAGTGGAACAGTTAGTGGGTTTAGTGTTAAGCAGAACCTGAGAGAAATACAAATAGCCCCACCACAAATGACATGCATGCAGGAATTCTGAGTATTTTATAATATTGGATCAGCCTAGCCAGGAATTTGGATGAAACCTTCAGATATGATTATGAAGCAAACTTCAACTCATTTATTTTTAGGAGAACAGAGGGGAGGCATTAAATCTAAACCATGTAAGATGGGCAGAAGCTTCTTTTTTTTTCTTTTTCTTCTGACTTATATAACACCCAATACTGCTAGAGCACTCTCTGGGCAGTTTACAGAGAGTAATTATGCAAGGAATACTTTGCCCCCCACCTCCACCCCTGCAAGTTTGGTACTCGTTTTACCTACCTCAGAAGGATGGAAGGCTGAGTTAACTACCTGAGCCAGCTACCTGAACCCATCTGAATCAAACTCAGATCATGAGTAGGGGCTTTACCGCAATACTGTAGAATAACCACTGTGCCACAGGGAACCTTCTAGACCCAAATAGATTGCAACTGAGGTAACAGAATAGAAATTACAACTTTTAAAACTGTACTTCATTCCCTTTTAAACTAAGTAGTGGTCTGTGGTCCTTAACATTTACAGCAGACAGGTCTCAAACTTTTAGACTATAATAATTACACAATGTATTTTGTTGATTGCCAGACTAAATGCCTTCATGGTCGAGTTGCTTCTTCTGTTTTTCCCACAAATAAATTATCCTTCTATTTGAACCTTGCTACCTCTTTCAGTCTCTTGAAAAATAAAATCTTATTTGAAGCGTTATTTGATTAGTACCAGGTTTCAACAGTACATGCATCCCTACTAGAATATATCAAGATTCAGTAAATTTGGAAACAATTAAGATTTAGTATATTGAACATAGTAAAATCTTGGCATTGCCTTCCTGGCAGCTGTATCAGATTCACCATAGTGTACTGTTGTCATTTCCAGTATGACAAATGCTCTTAAATGAGGCATACTTTTATGCTCATTAGTATAGCAAGCTATGACTCCAACCTTTGCTGTTTAATCATTCTAATATCATTTCTCTAAAAGTTCAAAGACTGAGAACCAAGATTTAGAACCAAGACTTAGAATACATATGTACTGAAATGGGCTTTGTCACTTTTGATTTTTGTCACCCTACATTTGATTTATATATATTTTTTTTTCTGGGAAGAAATCTCAAGCTGTACAAGCCTACTATAATTTCTGAACAGAATGACATCTTTCCTGTATAGGATTCACCAGAAAGAATATGAAGCTGCATAGAACATGGCAGTTTCCTGGGCAAATGGAAAGCAAATGGAAAAAAAAGAGAAAAAAGTGGGACAAGATTAGACTCTTTAGAAATCTCGCTGGTGCACAGGTGATATTAAGCAGGGCTCTCAGCATAGGCAAGAACAAGAAATTTTTCAAGAGCTTGTAATGTGCGTACCTTATACACTCAACAATTGCTAAACTTCCTGAGAAGTTCAGCACATCTACAACCTTGATTAGCGAAGGTTTAATATGTGCTAAAGACAGTGTTGTTGCTCTGCTACTAACAATGTTTCATTGACATTGCAGAATTTCCTGTGAGCAGCTTTTGTAAAGTTGTTGGAGTACTGGCCTATTCCAGGGTCAGACATCTGCGTCTGGATGCAAACAATCTGACGAGAGCTGATCTTCCCCATGAACTGTACAACTGTCTCCGAATGGCTGCCGAAATCTCTTTGGAATGAATTGTGCCTCCCATCGTTCAGAGGTCACCTCTATTGCGCTTTACACCACCACAATACTTTAAAACTAGAATATCATCTTGCGTAATATCTAACATGTTTGTTAATAAATAGCATGATTCTGGCCATCTATTTTTTAAAAAGTGTGTATATTCTAGCAAATCAATGATGCTAAAGTTTTGTACAGCTAGAATGTCCCATAGATTATGGGCAAGGTTTCCCTCCCCCACTCCCCATATTTTTTCCTCTTAGACTATTTAGGTCAGACAACAAAGTACAGCCTGAGTTTGAAAGGTTTTCAAAAAAGCACTGGTGTACACTTACTATAAACACGCAATACACTCCTTGTGAGTGTACAGTTCTACTCAGGTTTGCAGAAGTCAGGTATATTCTAATCTAGATGGAATGTTTAGTATGTTAGGGCTGGAACATATATTTACACTATTTCTACATTCAAGTTCTCTCCTGTTTTACAATTTTGCTTTGTTCCATTGCTGCAACCATGTTCCACAAAAAAGCAATAATCATTTATAGCTACATAAACTAGTAAGATCTATAGAGAGTTGTATTTTAAGACCCTAGTTAAGCATGATTCATGTGAACAATGGGGGAAAAAAGACAACATTTAGCAGGGTATTATTTTGACAATACTTCTATGTTCGTTAAGTGAAACTGTTATGGCAATGTTTGTTTAAAGCTCAAAAGCAAAATCTATTATTTTACAGCGAAAAATGTACACAATTGTTTTATTCATTTATTTGCATGCAATATTTAACACGACTGTAGAAATAAAACATAGCAAATGAAAAATACTGAGTGCAAATTATTGTCAAAATAGTTTTTCATTTTTAAGACTAAGTGTAGGTAAAAACAATCAAAAAGGCTATTTTATATTTTGCTGAATTTTGTAAGGTTGCAACTCCATTAAATAAATTGTTTTCTATATTTTGTGGTTTTAAACGTTTTTAAAACACCACTTAGATTAATGATTATTACTATTTACTTTACATCGAGTTCTAATGAGATTATATACAAATCAAATAATACTTTATAAAACATGTGAAATTCATGGGATATGTGCATACACCAATATATGTAAAGTTACAGACAATCTCTTCTGATACAACTATATTGGACAGTGTTAATTTTTAATGAACTGGAAACCAGAGAGAATGATGGATGTCAAGGTAACAAAGGCTTGAATGGAAAATACCTCAGATTCAATTCTGACATCTCTTGTTACGATGTCCTTCTCTGAAGACCCGAAAAGCCACTACTGGTCGTTCTTGGTTTTGTGTACCATGGAGTTGCTTCTGACTTTGGTGACCCTATGAGTTACTGACTCCAAAAGGCCTACCATTGATAGTGTTTCTCACCCCTTGCAAAATCAAAGGTGTGGCTTTCTTTTTGAATCAATATACAATATATGATATATGTTTTTCCCCTTTCCTGTTGCCTTCATGTTTTTAAAGCATATTGTCTTTTCTAGCGAGTCTTGTCTTCTCAGTGTGGGTTACTAGTGTAGTATAGAGGTTGGAGTGACAGATTAGGACTCTGGAGAACAAGGTTCAAATGCCCACTTGGCCAGGGAAACTCACTGGGGGAGTGGACTGGTAAAGCCACTTCTTAAACATCTCTCTTACCTTGAAGACCCTATTAGGGTCCCCATAAGTCAGTTCTTTGATGGCACAGAACACACATACACACATCTTTTCATGATATGCCCAAAGTATGACAGACTCAATTAGTTATTTTTTGTTTTAGAGAGAGTTCAGAATGAATTAGATCTCTCTGTATTCTGTACTATAAAGTCAGAACTGACTTACATCAACCCTAGTGGGGCTTTCCATCAAGGACATACTTATTTGTCTTTCTGGACAGTCCATAGTATCTGTAAAGTATAGTAGTCAATATAAGTTTTAATTAGATGACAGTAGCCTGATTTGGTATTAGATGGATGGATTCCTTTAGCAAACCTGCTCCTGCCCATGAAACACAGGATTTGGGGATACCTCATTTTATTAGTCCAAAGAGAAAGCAAATACAGAACTATTCAGAAGTGTCAATACTATCCATAACGAGGAAAAAATGGTGGATCAGTAACCATCACATTTATAGAGCACTACTAATTAAGGGAGTCTCTGGTTAGTCTACCTCTTTTGGATAGGTATGGCAATATCTTGAGACACTGAATTGCTGGATAGCTCAAGTGGTTTAAGCATCTGGTGTGGAGTCAGAGGTTGGCAGTTCTTCCCCTCTGGGCCTTCTTAACAGGTGTCGGGCTTTATGATCCTATCCAGCTCTGCAGTACTAAGATAATGATGATGATAAGCAGACATTAACTTGAGGAAGGCAATCAGCTAGCTTTCCTGTTACAAGACACACATATACACAATGCCTGCTTCACATACCCATGGGATGATGCTACCTATTTCTGTCCATATCTCAGTCTTCATTGATTATTGTTTCTACTGTAATGTTTGAAAAGGCTATTACATGTGAATCCAAGCAGGATCTGAATATGTTACAGCAGGAAAGACAAACTGATATGTAATGGGCAATAAATGTGTTACCTTTTCCCCACATTTATTGTTTGCTTGTTAACACACAAGAACAGCTGTATTGCATCAGACTAGAGGCCAGTTACTTATGGAAATCTCAAAGCAATGCATGAGTATACCTACAGCCTCTGTTCTCAACAACTGATATAAGAAGGCATAATGCCTCCAGTATGATACTGGAAGCAATAAATAAATAATCCTGCCTAATGAGGTTGATTACTTAAATCTCCATCAATTTATTTAGTCTTCTTTTAAAGCTGTTCATATTGGCAGCCACTGTTACACCTTGTGGAGGTAAATTCTGAAAGTCATTCCTTTTATCTATCTTGAATCTCCCACCATTCTGTCCCATTGCTGATTCCACACTATAGTAATATACACGAAGGAAGAAAGATTGCCACTTTTATGATTTTTCTTACTTACCTTTTTTTCCTAAGCAGATATTAGAGATGAGGATGACCTGCCAAAATGTCAAGGCTGATGAACCGCAAACCATGAATGTACTAATGTTTTATGATGAACCACAAATCAGTTTGTTGGTGCTTGGTTTAAAAGAAACAAATCTGAGCTCTCTGCCCCCACAGCCTGCCCCTGCTCTCTTCCCACTGCCCTTGTTGCCTCCCTACCTTCTCCTGCTGCCTCCACCTTTGCCACTGCTTTTCACTGCCATCTTCGTGGCTGCCTCTGTACTGCCACCTCTGCTGTTCCTGCTGTCTTTGCAGCTAGCAGCAGCAGCTTCTATTCAGGCAGCCTAGTCTTCCCTCTCTGCCCATGAGTCCACCGATCAGCTGTTCGGTGGACCCATAGGCAGAGAGAGCAAGCTAAGCTGCCAGAACGGAAGCCGCCGTTCCGGCAGCCTAGCCTTCTCTCTCTGTCTATGGGGATGAGTAAAAAACAGGTAAGTATCCATCCCTTTGTATTCTTCGGGTCTCTGGAATTGACACACCGCACAATGAATATCTGAAAAAAAATCTGTGATTTTCTATAAATATTGTGATTTGTTTTTTATTCATCTCCATATTTAGCAGATATCTTTAAACACAACCTTTCTTCATGAAAGAGGTGCCCCAGTCCCTTAAGCACTTGGCTTGCCGTTTCCTGCACTCTTTCCAGCTCTGCAATATTCTTTAGAGATGAGCACAAAGCACTTCCTGCCATATCATCTTAAGCTGTTGCCACAGCACCATAAGTGCTACATGTTCCATACCCCACTCCCCCACCCCGCTGGCACCTCCATTTGCCAACCAGGACATGCAGCTTGTTCTCTCCCCATTAAACAATCTTCCACTCCTGGCAGGAGCCTGGATTTCCCTTTTCTGCCTCCTCCACCAGCTGACAATGAGTTAGGGCAGGCCTTCATGCAGTGCTACCTTTGAGTGGGCAGCTGCTGGAAGAGGCAGAGAAGGGAAGTCATGCTCCTGTCATGACTGGAAGATAGCACAACGAGGAGGGAACAAGCAGCATGAGCTGACTGGTGAGTAGAGGTGCCAGTGGGGAGGTGGCAGGGAACATGCAGCACCTGTGGTGCTGTGCCAATGACTTAAGACAACTCAGCATGAAGAGCTTTGTGCTAATTTCTATTCTTCTTCAATTATGATGACCAGAATTGTACACCTTATTCCATATGTGGTCACACAATGGATTTGTATAAGAACAGTATGATATGGGCAGTTTTATTTTTTATTTCCTTTCTAATCATAATATTCACCACAGCCACTGCATACTTGGTTGATGCTTCCATTGAGTTATTTAACATAGGCCTACAACCCCCTTTTTGGCAAATGACTACCAGGTCAGATCCCATTAAGTTGTATGTGAAGTTGAGATGATTTGCTCTTGGATCCATTACCACATATTTGAGTTTCGTTTGTTATTTTAGTGTGAATTTCCACAGTTTGGCAAGATCCTGGCAATGATTCAGTGTCATCAGCATGCTTGGCCAATGAAGCTTAACTCTTTACTTTGTAGAATTGGCTGTAAATATAGAAAGGCAATACAAATTTATGAGAGGTCTTCATATGGAACTTGGTTTGCAGCTTGTTGATGGATCTGGAACTGTCAAACATGCCTGGTCTTACAAACAATATGAATTTCTGACTTTAGCAATGAAATTTAAATCTACTTTATCTGAGAATTAGGGCTTATCTACAGAGCTTGATTGGAGCAGGCTTGGTTGGAGCATTCCAGACCTCCACTAGGAGGTCTGGAATGCCATTTGCTATGATCCTTGCACCCAAATGACATACATACCTCAAGTGACCTTGTATTAGGTATGTGTATTACAAGTGATCGTTAAGAGAAGTGTATTAGGACATATACTTTTCTCAAAGATCTGGTCAAGAGCTTCCCACCACAGCCTAATACACATATCTAACACACAAACACACTTCTTCCCCTTCTCTTAAAGGGCCAATTGAGAAACTGCCACAGTGGCAGATTCTGCTGCAGGAAGCTTCTTGAGCAGCCCTTTAAGACAAGTGAAAGAAAGGATTTAAAAATTGCTTTTTTATTACTGATGCAGTGTATTTTCACAGCTCTAATGGAGGCTGAAATTTTTTTACTTCCTTCGCACTTCTGCCAAGAAGCAGAGGATGTGTTTAATTAGCCAATATCCTGAAGAGGCTCTATTAAGCCACTTCATGATACTGCTAATCAAAAAAAGAGGAAATTTGTTTGGTTTATTCCTAGCAATCACATGCACTGGAAACTTACCAAAAGAAAGCCATCCTACATACACCAAAAAAGCAAAAGCCCTGACAAGAACCAGAAAGATGTGGGCTAGTTTATCCAGCAAAAAATATTATCCGATAATTTTTGTAGCAGACGAAACAGCGAGCTAAATGCCCATGTCGTTAGCCTCTTAGCTTATGAACAACCTGGATGCTAAGATGCTAGGAGCTAAACTGACATCAGCGTATTTTAAAAGCATATTGTCAGAAATGTTCTTTTTTCTCACTCACAGTAAAAGAAATCTACAAACTAGAAATGTTAAACCAATTAACAGTTTTAGTTCTAAGTAACCTCACTGTGCCTCCTCCATATGAGATTTCTAGAGTCAGAGAAAAGCAACAGCAGAAAGTACCAAGACAGCCTTCCAGAGGGAGATTTCCAAAGACAGGACACTGCGTATTTTAAAGCAAATACACTAATAGAATCCTTTCCTCCAGAATCAAAAGGTTAGAAGATGAATCATGAATGTGATGTGGAATCTACATCTGGAAGAAGCTACATTTATCTGGATCTTGTTATCA